TTCTCCCCTTCTGCCTATGGTTTGCCGGGCAGCTCTGTTTGTCACAGCCCCTTGTTTGTTGTCCTCTTCTCCCTCTCTGTCGGTGAAACTCCGACGAAACAGTTTGTCACAGCCCCCTTGTTTCATCGGCACCGAGCACACGAAAGAATAAAAAAGAGACAACTGCGCCTCTGGCCGCTGCACAGTTCTGAATTCGCAGAAATAACAGTCCACTGCGAGCTTGGGTGAAGACCAGTTAGAAACTGCAAGAAAAACAGTAATTTAATCATGCGTTCGACGGCCGACCAATTCAATAAAATTGGCAAAAAACGGGAGGTGGCGGTAATGGTACTGCTCTTTTTCCCATGGCCTGGCCTGGGAGCAGGTAACCGCCGCAGGCCCTCCCGTTTAATGGACAAAAATATTGCAAAGGCTACCCAACCTACTAATTTTTTGAGTGAAATAGCATAACTGACGCCTTCATACATAGATAGGCATCAGAGAGCCTTTTTCCCGAACCGTATGTGCAAGTTTCCTCGCATACAGCTCTCACGGAGGTCCTTAGTTAGCGACTGTAAGCAAGCCGGCAGAGGCTTGGCAACTGCGACCTGGATGGACTTCGTGTGAATGATCAATCAAATCTGTGTTCTCGATAGGACCCTTTGTGATGGTTCGTTTCCCCAGGGGTGTGTCCTAGGCATCTCGGCCGTGGCCCAGCACGGGCATGGCCTAGACATCCCGGCCGTGGCCCAGCCACGGGCGTGGCCTAGACATCTCGGCCCTGCCCAGCCATGGGCGTGGCCAAGACATCTCGGCCATGGCCCAGCCACGGTTGTAGGCGCGGGAAAAAAAAAAAAAAAAAAAAAAAAGGTGGCCGCCTGATTTTGCCACTTCCGAACTTCCAACGGCTAGACACAAACAAAAAAAGCTGTAACTGTTCAGATTCTTCAGAATCTGTTTTTGCAGTTTCTAATAACTAAAACTGCTCTCCAGTTTCTAATAACTGCCCTCCCTCGGCCCAGACAGAACCGCAGTGCCCTGTTTCTGTTATTCCTTCCTGCCAATTCGGACCGGTCGGTCACCTGCGCAGTTATTTCAAAAAAAAAAACAGGACTTATCAACTATTATTTTACACCAACCTTTCCGTTCCCATCATCCTAGTCCGGACACCCCCAATCATATTCCCACATGTCAACATCCCAACAACACACACCGAGCAAGCCCACTGAAGTGACTGAACCCTTGTTCTTTTTGTTTTTTTTTTGTTTTTTTTTTTGGCTGGAAAAATCTTCTGCCATTGTAACAATTGGATAGACTCCGATAAGATTACATTTTCAGTGACATTGTGTAGAAATTGACATGGTCCACTTGGCACTGTGGAGGGACCCATCTCCACCAGCCCTCCTTGCCGCCGCCGCGCACATCATCAGGGCCCGGTACGATCTCAAGGTCGAATCGTTTGCTAGCTTCTTGCTGAAATTCCAGTTGCGCCGCCGCATTGCGAACCTCCGAAATGCAGTATATAGCTGGACTGATGCCTTGCTCACAAACCATTGAAGTGCAGACTTGATCCATGGTCTGCACCAGAGCTTTCGCCGAAGCTTCGGAATAAATACAGTCGGAGGCGAGGATAACGTTCGGACGGAGATCCTTTACGATGGCATTCATTGCCTCTGTATCGCCCCATACAAGGGGGCGAGCAGTTATAACATCCTCGCTCAAGCGGTTCATCTGGATATTCTCCAAGATGCCGTCTACGAGCTCCGGAATATCAGTTGCTATGACCCGCCGAGCACCAAGTTTGGCGCACAAGATGCTCGGTAAAGCCACCACACCTGCTCCCAGTTCAAGTATCAACAAATCGTGCAGCGGCAGACGCCCGAGCTCAGCGTATGCTTGCAGGTACAGACAGAGCAGAGCCGCGCTGTCCCATATGTATCCGCCTAGGTGAGGAGAGTGAGGGTCCTGAGAGATAAGTATTTTCTGCTTCCCATTGAAGTCAAGGGTGACGCGAGTAGCTGCCTGCGCCGCCCATCGATCGAGCGAGCTCAGGGTGACAGTTGTCGGCACGCCATCCATCCAGCCCGAGAGGGTGTAACTAAAGCTGGGACCCTCAGCAGTGGAAGAGGAGGGCGACTTGAGGAGGTCGCTAGTCGGCTGAGAGGAGTGAGGAGAGGAGGAACCAGTGAAAGACGGAGTGTTTTGCGGGATGCTCTTCTGCTTGCGTTTGGCTTTCGCCATTCTGTACGGTGGAGAATAACACACGAGAAATCCCGCCGTCAGGATGCACAGGGCAAATGCAGACGCAGCAACCTTACCATTGCTTCCTCCTCCCAGCTCAACAGTACATCCTACAAACTCCTAGCACACAGCACTTCCAAATTTATCGCACAACTCCCAATGCATAGCCTTTGCAGCCCGCCTCTCTTACAGCCAATAATTTGCTTCACAAGTTGATCTCATCAAACAGCTGTGCAACAGGCAGCATCAAACTCTCTCTCTCTCTCTCTCTCTCTCTCTCTCTCTCTCTCTCTCTCTCTCTCTGTGAAACACACACACACAGTAGTCAGTGGTTTCCACAGCCTATAGTCAGTGAGCGGCATGGAGAAAGGAGGAGGGTCTGCTCAGAACCCTCCGCTCACATGCCTTCCCTTCCATCGACAACGTCAAATTGAGCCTTTTCTGACGCATATACAGTCTAATTACCCATCCTGGACTTTTTAACAAGCAGTAGAGCCATGCGATCACTCGAGCGCATTGCCTCGTGACTTTGTGTAAGGACTTTTCCTGATGTATTTAGTGACCTTTAGGGTCACATTCATCAAAGTCCCCCACATCCATATGGCCTCCGACTGCTCAACCTGCATCATTCCAAAAATAGGCACCATGCAACAAATCACTGGAGCGCATTGCCTCGTAACTTTGTGTAAGGACTTTTCCTGATGTATTTAATGACCTTTAGGGTCACATTCATCGACGTCCCCCACATCCATGTGGCCTCGGACTGCTCAACCTGCATCGTTCCAAAAATAGGCACCATGCAACGAGGTCTGTGTGAGTGTTTTCCCTCATCACGGCATCATCGCCTCACAAGCAAGCTTTATATTAAACCCCCAGTACTTCCTAAAGTTGTGCTTGTTAACGTGCCACGATTTTAGGAAACGTACGGGCCACTACAGGAGCGCCCAAATTCATCCAACTAGGAACGTTTCTACTTTATTTTTTTTCCGCAGCCGATAGATAGCTGGGCCAAGTACTCGTGGTTTAACCAAACTCGTCTTCCTATTCGGCATATTCGCACTCAAAACTTTCTCTGATGGGTTACACCAGCAGGTCCAGCACAATATTTTGACTGAATTTTTTTTTTCATTTTTTTTTTTTTTTTCTATTGGATTCACCTTTCTTTCATGATGAAAACAAAATTCTGAATCTTTTCATTCTATAGATAAAAGTTTGCTCAATCGGATTCACCTTTCTTTCATGATGAAAACAAAATTCTCCATCTTCTCATTCTATAGATAAAAGTCTGCTCAAGCAAGTTTTGTAGGATGACAAACTCTCGTCCTTCGGGACATCCGTTAAAATTGGAACGATACAGCGAAGATTAGCATGGCCCCTGCGCAAGGATGACACGCATAAATTGAGAAATGGTCCAAATTTTTATTAAAAAAAAAAAAAAGGATGACACACTCTTGAACATCTAACAAGTGTCTGTCTGCACACTGTGCATGTAAAACTCTTGGATTTTTTTTCCAACAGTTTATCTTGCTGCAATTAGGACCACATGAATCCAATTGCAGCTCAAAAAGAGACTTCATGTGGCCCTTTTTCGAAGCAGGCTAACGGCGCCGGTATCATTATTTTTTTTCTGTATGCGCTCTCAAGTACGTGTGTTCACATGGGATGTTGGGCCCCGTTCCCAGCACGTGTTGGCCGGGGCCGCAGCAGGGGGCGGGGAGGAAATCCAGTTGTTCAACGTGCTTAGGTCCCCTTCCCTTCCATTCACAAATGGGTAAGGAAGGGTGTTCACATTTCCAGGCTTGGAGTTATGATTCATGACCTAATGGGTTTCTAAATTCTAATCTGAGGGAACCAACTAGCTGGACCAAGATGACATCAAACTTAAAAAAAAGAACAAGAAGAAGAAGAAGAAGATGACATCAAACTGTCATAGCCGCAAAAACAAGAAGAAGAAGAAGAAAAAGAAGAAGAAGAAGAAGAAGAAGAAGAAGAAGATGACATCAAACTGTCATAGCCGCAAAAAAGAAGAAGAAGAAGAAGAAGAAGAAGAAGAAGAAGAAGATGACATCAATCTGTCATAGCTGCAAAAAGAAGAAGAAGAAGAAGAAGAAGAAGAAAGAAGAAGAAGAAGAAGAGAAGATGGCATCAAACTATCGTAGCCGCTTCGAACCTGAACACTCTGTGTCATGTAACAAGTTCTCGTCTGGATGGTTCTCCGATCTTTTGAAATTCGGAGAACGATACGAGCATCGGTAAATGGTAGTATACATAGAGCTCCTGTCTTAGTATTAGGAGACTTAGACAACGATTCTAAGTACTACTCTCTACCCCTTTCATCCATCAAATTGTCTTTTGTTGTTTTCATTTGTTTGTTTAAACAGAGATGTGATGACATTTTGCTGCAGGGACCTCCTACGAAGGCTAGAATTTAGCAGTAAGAGGTAGCCAGCAGCCCGACTTGCTTGCTTGCCCACTGGCAGTCTAAAGTAGGCGATAGTGTGCTCAGTTCCCATTGCTGCTACCAAGGGAATTGAAGACAATATGACTGATCTGCTTCACTCCCTTCAGCCAGCTAACAACCCCTTGTTGTCACAGTTTGAGGGCCTAGTGCTATCAACCTTGCCTGACTTCCAGTTCCAGTAGGCAAGCCTGCCTCCCATTCCCCTACCTCCACCCTTTGTATGTACCATCCCTTATGCCGTTGTAGTCTGGCGGCTCTTTATCTGCATTCGTCTACAATCTTATGAACTCCTCAAACCTCAGTGCTGGTATCAGAATCTGCAAGAGTGTATTTAAGTGCTACTAAAGCCGTGCCCGCTGTAGTGGAGATCTTCTCCTTGCTGGGCTGCTTTCTTTTCCCCATGTTGCCAGAATCTGCAAGAGTGTATTTGAGTACTACTAAAGCCGTGCCCGCTGTAGTGGAGATCTTCTTCTTGCTGGGCTGCTTTCTTTTCCCCATGTTGCCTCTTCTCTTGTCCTGCGCTCCTGTCCACAGTTGAAGAGGTAGTGAATATTCTTCAATCTATAAACACCACCCGTCAAGCTTGTGCCACATCCCTGTCGTTTTTGCCCCAGTCCCTTGTTTGATCCAGCATTCTGAGTGCTCTTCTGTCGTCATGAGTTCTGTCATCTGTTGAGATGCAAAGCTGTGCCCGTTGTACTGATTTTGTCTAACCTCCAGCCCTATCTCACGCTGGTCTCTGGTTTGCCCAGACACTCTGGGCCTTTATCTTGTGATCTACCCGTGCCGCCACATTAGTTCCAGTTTTTGTATTTGAGTTCATTATTTCAAGCCGGGTCGAGCGCCTGGCCAAGGGTCGACCTTGCAGTTCGGGCTCAGTTAGCCATCAGAGTCCTGCCCGTGGGAGGAGGGGGGAGATGGCAGGGGGGGAGATTGGGTCGGTTGTGGGCAGGTTGGCGGCGGTGGGGTGGGCAAGGGGGATGAGGGGGGTGTTGGGGTTAGCAGTGGCCGAGAGGTGGGCAGCGGGGGCGTGTCGGGGGTCGTGTTGGGGCTCATCAGTGGTGGGGGGGCGGGGAGGGGCTCAGCAGCAGGGAGTGGCGGAGCATCCGGGTCCCATGGAGGCAGGTAGGGGTTGTGGAGTGTCGGGTCGGGGCTTAGGTGCGGGAGGGATGACTGAGGGGTAGACGGAGGTGGGGAGGGGACGGGTGGCGGTGGTTGAGTCGGGAGTGGGGGATGCTGTGGTAGATCGTGGGCGGATGTGGGAGGGTGGGGTATGGCCAGCTCTGTGAGGGAGGATCTGCGGGTGGGCGGGAGGATCCGTCTCGTCCAGCCGGCTTCGTCTTGCCACCATTGTTTCCAGTGGAGGTTTTGGTTGTCATCAAGAGTCGCCAACTTACGCGAGGGGTCCAGCCATTCCCTTTCAAACCTCTGGATTCGTTGCGTTTTCTTAGAGTCATCAGTCATGGTTTTCATAGATTCTTTGAGGTTTTTCCATGCCTGATGTATGCTTGTACGGATGGTGTCTATGATGTGAGCTCTGGCTTGTGGGAAGCCAAAAGTGTGTTGTCTTCGTTCGTGAGAGCACCGGGCCCGCCAGGCCGTCATCAGGACTTCCAGGCGCGTGTAATTAAAGAGGGTAGATTGGAAGGAGGACCATGCATGCTGGTTAGTTGTGGGCAGGTCCATTAACAACGTCCCTGGGTTCCATGGGAGATCTATGCCTGTGAGGTGCCTCCACGCTGCGTCCCACCAGCGTTATCCATTAATCTACAACAACTTCCATAATGATCTCTACTTACCTGCCTGGGCCCAGTCACCTGTGGATATATCTCAAGACTGCCGCCCTTTAAAAAAAAAAAAAAAAAAAAAAAAAACAAAACAGTAAATGCAATTTTGTTGTGGCGGCAGTTTGGACTAAGCAAAAATACTTTAAATTTTAAAATAGCCGTTTTTTTTTGCCATTTCAGCACTCCGGCTTTCCACACACCGCGGGCTGACCTTGTAAAAATCATATCTGAGCTCATTAGAAACGCTGCTGTGAGCTTTTATTGCCTTTTCAAACTTGGCGTGTGAGTAACCTGGGGGTATGTTTTAAACTTTTTTTTTTTTTTTTTTGACATATTCGGAACATTAAGACACAGCATTTTGCCAGTAGCTGTGCCTCCCTTTTCATTGCCGCCCACCCCCATCGAGTAACAGCAGTGTCTAAGGCCAACACTCTCCCACACACCACCACGCACAACCCACCCACCCACCCACCCACCCACTCTCAGACTCACACCTGGGTTTTGGCTAAAGAGTCAAAGACCCACAAACCAGAGGGAGCAAGCCGACTATGTGAGCTGGTTGGCACCATGTGTGCCCCAGGCAGGCAGTCCGTGCGGTTCGAACCCCCGACCTTCTGAATGCCACTTGTGTGCCCAACCAACTGAGCTGGCGAAGGCCATTTGACTTGAGAGAAGAATTTCGAATGCCACTTGTGTGCCTAAAGAACTGAGCTGGTGAAGGCCATTCGACTTTTTTTTTTTTTTTTTTTTTTTTT